GCAGTCTTGAAGCGATGAAAAGAGACAGACACTGTCCCGACCGGTGACGAAGTCGTCTACCGGCGAGTCAATGGGCCACCCAGTCAGCTATGGACAATATTCTGAGGATCTGCTTTCTTCTGAGTGAGCCCAATGTGCATGAGACTCCAGGACCCGGCGCTAATGGACTTGAACCTTATTCAAATGCGGCGTCTGTGGCTTAGGCGTTGCGAGTCCGACTCGTAATTCCAACATACCGCTATCGAAACTCACTGCTGGCTGCGTGGACTTTTATCATGGTAGGCTGTGTCACAGGTCGACCCAGTCAAAAAATGGGTACCAGAATGGCTGTAAAGAAGTAAAGACGGTCGGCGTAATGCTGACTACATTACCCACCTAGTGCCTATGGTCTGTAAAATTATGGGCGCTCTTCCCAAATACTCGATACGACCAATGGCGTGAAAAGGGATCTTTACTTTTTACTTGTTGTAAATAATTATGGCTGTCTCTACTCTAACATCTTTGTAGGATCACAGGAGTAGCTGGGATCTGCCATACGGCCTGAGTAGGTCAAGGTTGGTCAAACTTTTGGTAGCAGCTGGAGGAGACAAACGGAAGGATACAAACCTGTGCTCTAGAAAGGAAGTCCGCAAGTGGATCCAAGAGCACACCCCGACGTCTTGACCACTTGGAGAAGGGGTCCAGCAGTTTGCCTTGAGCTCTGAAGTGCGTGGGTTTATTTCACTTCTGCATCGTTCGGTTTACGAGTGCAATCTGTACAGAGACCCATAGGGATCGTCGTCAGAGCTGTGTTGTGTGCGATGCTCTCTGTAAGGAACTATGCGGAGAAAGAGAGAGAGAGAAAGATAGAGAGAGAGAGAGAGAAAGAGAGAGAGAGAAAGGGAGAAAGTGAGAAAAAGAGAGAGAAAGAGAGAAAGAGAAAGAGAGAGAGAGAAAGAGAGAGAGAGAGAGAACGAGAGAGAAAGAGAGAGAAAGAGGGGGCGGGAGAGGGGGAGAGAAAGAGAGAAAGAGAAAGAGAGAGAGAAAGAGAAAGAGAAAGAGAGAGAGAAAGAGAGAGAGAGAGAAAGAGAAAGAGAAAGAGTGAGTGAGAAAGAGAGAATGAGTGAGAAAGAGAAAGAGAGAGAGAGAGAGAGAGAGAGAGAGAGAGAGAGAGAGAGAGAGCCATTTGGGAGAGCAATGAAGGCGATCCTCTTGACCTTCAACGACAGAGTCGCTGGTGGTCGCCGTGGTGTAGCAGCTAGAAGCTCGTCTGTGCATCCAAAGGTCGTGGGTTCGGGTACTGATGGAGCCGGGCTTATTTTTCAAAAACGACCTTGACTCCTAGTCGGACCCAGGCTTGAGTGGGTAGCAGGTACAAGCCCTGGGAAGTAAAGGCCGCGAGTGTGATGCTGACCACATCAACCTCTAAGTGACGATTGGTCGATAAAATTTAGGTCTAGCCCTATATGCCCAGAAGCTGAGAAGCTGTTGGTTTTAGTATGAGAGACAGGTTTACTTCTTGCTTGTTGTACCCCACCAGGACATCACACAAGCGATAAAACACCCGGTGACACAAAGTGCCACCATGCGGATGAGGATCACCCGTGGAGAGGTTCCAAACACCCCTTTCAGCCGTTATGGCCACATTCATGGCCCGGCTATATTTAGGGCTCCCGGCAAAGCCAGGGTGGGGCTCCAAATAACGAAAAATGCAGTCCACATAAAGGCGACAATGACGATAACAGATTTACCACTATAACATGTCTTTGACATGTACAGTTTTATACCAGTGAGGGAAATACGATATCCACATTTGCATTAAAAAGACTGGCATAGTGGTCAAGGACAGACAACCAGAAACTCTGTCGATGGAAAGAAAGAAAACGGAAATAACATTTCTAAATTTTAATAACTGGAGTCATTTTTTCTTCGGGTGGAGTAATGTTAAGGAAATGCAAAAGTAAATCAGGTATTAGGAACAAAAAATATCCCTTTTGCTACATCGAAGGATACCTGATATTGCCGATAAAAAGTCACATAATATTTATTTTAGTGGGCATTAATTTACAGTTGTTAAACATGGATCCGAATTAAAACCCATCATCATCATCATCATCATCATCATCATTATCATCATCAATGTCCACTGCTGCCATTAAGGGTCGTGTAAATAGACTTCTATATTGATATACAGATGCAAATATACAGATGCGTCGTGACAGGTGGTAACAGGAAAAAGTAGGGGATTGCTAGGTGTGGGCTTAGTATGGTATGGCCTCGTGCCACGCGACCGTTACGGTAGCCATGAAGGCCACCCTGGTTCACCCCGAAACGTTCTGGCCAACGGGGCTCTGGTGAAGTTGCGACAGGCCTAGCAAGCCGGCAATGGATTTATTATTGGTAAAGAAAAAACAATGAGATATAAACGGTGTTTTCACATACATCGACAGTATATGCAAGAATGTCAAGCCCATGAATGAAAATGTTAGTAAGATCAACGAATTACTCTTTGCAGATGACCAGGCCTTGATAGCAGATACAGCCATGAAATTGCAGCAACATCTAACATCCATGAATGAAGAATGTAAAACAAATAATATGAGAATCAACACTGAAAAGACAGAAGTAATGTCAATAGGAAAAAAGAAGACAGATCTAAACATAGCAATAGAGAACAAAGGCATTAAACAGGCATCTGAGTTTAAATATCTGGGAACTACATTTACCGAAGATGGGAAATTGGATAAAGAAATTGACATTAGATGCAGTAAAGCAAACCAAGTATTGGGACAGCTAGCCCCCCTCTTACAGCATAAGACAATCCCGATCAGCACAAAGAGACATCTTATTCAAAGCATATTTATTCCAACTCTGCGTCACTCACAACAAACCATAAAAGAAAATTAGTAACCATGGAAATGAGATGTCTGAGAAGGGCTGTAGGAGTGACCATAAGAGATAAGATCAGGAATGAGATCATAAGAGAAAACGTCGGCACAGAACCAATTCTAAATTACAAACAAAGACAGCAAGTGAAATGGTTTGCCCACTTAGAGAGAATGCCTTGTGACACCATACCATACAAAGCATACATGGAAAGAGAAGAAGGGCGTAGAGCACGAGGTAGACCAAGAACAAGATGGAAGGATAACATCAGATAAACTCTACAACAGCACGATGTGCCTATGGTCGAGGCGACCAGAAGAGCTAGAAACAGAACCATATAGGTCCCTCGACACCCACAGCGGTAAAAGAGGAAGTGAGGAAGAAGAAGAAGAAGAAGAAGAAGAAGAAGAAGAAGAAGAAGAAGAAGAAGAAGAAGAAGAAGAAGAAGAAGAAGAAGAAGAAGAAGAAGAAGAAGAAGAAGAAGAAGAAGAAGAAGAAGAAGAAGAAGAAAGAAGAAGAGAAGAAAGAAGAAGAAGAAGAAGAAGAAGAAGAAGAAGAAGAAGAAGAAGAAGAAGAAGAAGAAGAAGAAGAAGAAGAAGAAGAAGAAGAAGAAGAAGATGCAAATCATGGATAGTTAGTGAATTAGTGAAAACTTATTTGGAAGCAGCGGAGATGTGGTTTTATAGACGAATGATGAGAATACTGTGGACAGCTAAACAGAGTAATGAAGACGTCTTGAAAGAAAAAAAAAAAAACGGACTCACAGAGAGAACTGATTGCCCACATCAGAAAGAGACAATCTACATTCTTTGGTCATGTGATGAGAAGGAGAAAACTGGAGTACATCGTGACTGCAGAAAAGCTGGAGGGGAGGATAGGCAGAGGGAGACCGAGAGAACAGATGCTGGACAGTTTTACATCATGGTTTGGAAGATCATCGGTGTCAGAGTTGATTGAAAGTACACGAGACAGAAGGTTGTGGATAGACATGACTACCACCGCCACTCGGCATGGACTTTAAGAAGAAGAAATGTAGTTGTAGTAGTAGTACTTTTACCCCACCAAGACATCGCACAAGCGATAAACACCCGATGACACAAAGTGCCACCATGCGGATGAAGATCACCCGTGGAGAGGTCCCAGAAACCGAGTTCAGCCGTTAGACCATATTTATGGCCAGGCTATATTGCGGCCCCTGGCAAGAGCCAAGGTGGGGCTTCAAATAACGAAAAAGTGCATCTCACAAAGGGATGATGTGATTTTTTTAATTCACTGAAGGTATAGAAGAAGAAAAATACTTCAACATATGACATACGAAGTCTCCGAGAAAAATTTCCGGATTTTAAATTGTTATTACACATAAACGAAGCATGTAATGGATTTACACAGGTGGCGTCTTAAAATATTTTGAAATGTTTAAGTTCCGTGCGACCTTGCGTAACAGACAGGCTTAAAACCGCGCTGGACAGATATCCAACACCTTAAAAAGAGGGTCGCTACAGTAATTGCAACCGCAACTCTGGACACCATTAAGAGATGCATGGTATAGAAATGAATACAGTCAAGACATCGCCAGAGCTACAAATAACGTCCTAACGTAGTCTACTATGGTAAAAACTACAACTTGAAAACTTTCTGAAAATACTAAGACGCCTCATGTGAATATCCAATAAATACCTCTTTAATAATAACAGTTTAAAATTCCCAGCAATCATTCTCAAAGACTACAGTTCTTTATAAAGACGCCGACATATTTGTTAGAAACCGGAAATCTACCATGGTAAACATATGTCTGCGTATATTTACCACTTTTTGGCGTGTAGGCGGGGGAGAAGGGGTGCGGAGTGGGGTGATTGAGGGGTCTTTAAATCTGAAGAGTTATGATCGGATCGCATGGCAAATGCAAAAAACAATAACTATACCAAACAATCTCATTTGGTCTCCCGTATAAGAACCCCACGTTCTCAACCGCTTGTGCAGCGGCCTCTCAGTCTGTTGTGGTAAGTGAGAGACCTCACTACTATGACACTGAAACTTCCAGATTCACCAAAGCATACGACAGACGGACGAATAAATGCGTCACGGACTAGAAGAGGCATGCGTGCACAAGGGTAGCTGGCGAATCACAAGAATAGCCATATAACTTTACGATTCTCTCATGACATCTCTCCAGGTCGACCTATATGGCCCTTAAGGTCGGTAAATCATCACCTGGAGTCTCTACAAATGAAGATTGCAATCATTCACAATCATCTGCTCTCGGTGGTGCCTGGAGACTGCCTGCACTGGATCTCTGAAGTGACTACGTGAAGGTGTGGGGGCGATCAGGGTCATGCCGTAGTATGGTACAGAGACGCGGTCACATCAGGCGACACCGTAATCAAAATTCAATTTGGACTTTTGATCTGACAGCGAGAAGCGTTAGGGGTAGCATTTCGAACACTCGCATCATACTGAGAAAATCTACAGCACGGGACTGAGGGCTGTTATACATTGTTATTTGCGTTTCTCTCAGGTTCCCCACTGGGTATACCGTGTATGTTTTACGTTTTACTCCAAGAGTGATAGCTTATTTGTGTAGGTCATAGATTCCCAAATCGTCTTCTTCTTCTTCGTTTTCACTAGCTGTAAACTCCGGCGGAAAGTCCTGTTTGTTTGTCCACGTCAGCACTCTAGTCCTGTTTGTCCATGTCAGCACTCTAGTCCTATTTGTCCACGTCAGCACTCTAGTCCTGTTTGTCCACGTCAGCACTCTAGTCCTGTTTGTCCACGTCAGCACTCTAGTCCTGTTTGTCCACGTCAGCACTCTAGTCCTGTTTGTCCACGTCAGCACTCTAGTCCTGTTTGTCCACGTCAGCACTCTAGTCCTGATTGTCCACGTCAGCACTCTAGTCCTGTTTGTCCACGTCAGCACTCTAGTCCTGATTGTCCACGTCAGCACTGTAGTCCTGTTTGTCCACGTCAGCACTCTAGTCCTGTTTGTCCACGTCAGCACTCTCCTGTTCTGAACCTAAGGGTTGCTTGTACATCCATTATACAGATTTGACTCTTTTGTTTGCAGATTACTGGCTCCTTGCGTCTCAGGCAGATTGCACTTCGACTTCGAAGGACGCTCCCAGTCAGTCGACTCTTACGACATTCTTGTTCGCCCCTCCCTCCCCCACAATTTGACTACGGAGCCCACACGGTGAGGATAGAGATTCTCAAATGTATTTGGTCCACTGTCCCAATTTTAACAAAAATAACAACAACAATAAAGTAGGCATCAATCCCCGCAACACTCACAAGTACCACGGCCTTCTCTATATACAGTCGGACCTAACAAGTAACTCGTGAAATCAAACAAACACGAAGATGCAGTGACGGGTAATGATTTGATTTATACGTCTATCTATTTTCTGCGTCGTTCAACGCCAATTTTTCCTTATATATATATATATATATATATATATATATATTAGGGCTGTACCGAATAGTGATTTTCACTATTCGGCCGAATACGAATATTGGGACCAACTATTCGGCCGAATACGAATTCGAATACGAATAGTGTATAGTGTAAAAAAATATTAAGAAAAAAAAAAATTCATAATGTCAAATGTACGCTGAACTTTTACTTCACATGAAGTAGCACAGAATAGTCATCTTATCTTTAGCATTCTGAGCCCTTGATGTTTACTGCTGCAGATATCACTCGTCTCCATTCATCTCTCTGGCTGGCCTTATCTTCACAATCTGCATCCTTTGGTGAGTCTGTGGTAACTAATAACTAGGATTGAAAGAATCCTAGGTATTGTAACAAGTAACTAAACTTGGAAATTGTCACTGACAGCTTAGTTAATGCAGGAAAGCTGCATTAGCTTTCAACAAAACCAATCGTTCCATGTTGTCAGCATTAAGCCCGTTTATGCAGAAGCGGGTGTGAGGTAGCTACTATTCGTATTCGGCCCGACCGCAACTATTCGGCCGAATACCGAATAGTGAATAGGTTCACTATTCGGCCCCGAAGCGAATACGAAGCGAATATTCGGTACAGCCCTAATATATATATATATATATATATATATATATATATATATATATATATATATATATATATATATATATGTGTGTGTGTGTGTGTGTGTGTGTGTGTGTACTTAATAACCCGATGCGTATTTGATTCTGACGTTAAGCGTTAAGGAAAGGAACAGTTTGCGATCCATTGTCAGATGGGCAGTAATGGCCATTATCATTCCTTGTCGATGTAGACGTTTTTTTTTTCAATGTCATCAATCCATGTCCTTCTAGGGCGACCTCTTGCGTAGGGGCACGATGCATCCTTAATATAGGCATGCTAAATTATATGCACCTTATCTATCAGTTTCGTAAACGATTCTATCAACATAAACAAACGTTTCATTAATGTTTACATTTATAGACATATTTATTATTTCATTCCCGTTTTCGATAATATGGAAACGAATGGACGTGAGCACTAATAGTTTATAATTTAAATGTTGTTCGTTTAAACTTTGGGGGGGGGGGGGGTGGAGGAGGGGTATGAGGGAATAAGTAAACACGACCACTGTAACTATGTAACACAAAAGTTGAAAGAGTTACCAATGGGTTTTGTTTCACAAATATTATTCGTGTTATGTGTATATGTATGTGTGTGTGTGTGTATGTATGTGAGCGGTTATGTTTCCACTATTCCTTTATTTTGATTTTATGCCAAAGCTACACCTGAAAGCACCACCGTCCCCTTTATCGTTCTAACACGCTACCAATATTTACACTCCCCCCCCCCCAAAACCTCATCGAATTGTCCTTACACCCCCCCCCCCTGTAGCGGAAAAAGGAGGCAGTAGGTGGGGGGGGGGGAAGGGGGATTTACTTTGGAAAACTATGCTGTCGTTATGGTGTCCATCTAATTTATACCATGTATCATTTCACATATATTAGAGGAGACAAGGGAAGTTATCTATGTTACAGAAACATTCTTATTAAGAATTTTTTTTTCAGGCGAAACATGACCAAATTATTAAAATGGCAAACTAAAACATGGATAAAATATTGAATTTTAGTCTGCGCTTTGCTGGCTTATTAAAGTTATGAACCATTACAACGGCCAATCGCTCTTTCAGGGACAAACATAGAAGGAGAACAAGAAGTTAGACTGAACTTCACTGACTTGTTGATGTTTAAACTGTTCTTCACTGACTTCTTCATGTTTAAACTGTTCTTCACTGACTTGTTGATGTTTAAACTGTTCTTCACTGACTTGTTGATGTTTAAACTGTCCTTCACTGACTTGTTGATGTTTAAACTGTTCTTCACTGACTTGGGAACCTCAGCCTAAATCTTTGATTCCAGACATGTAAAAAAAAAAAAAAAGTAAAGATCCCTTTTCACGCCTTTCGGCGTATCGGGCATATGGGCAGAGCGTCCCATATTTTTACAGACCATCAGCACTCTGAGGATAATGTGGTCAGCATTACGCCGGCTGTCTTTACTTTCCCAGGACAGCCCATCCTGGTACTTATTTTAGGCTGGGTAGACCTGCGACATCCCATACCACGATAAAAATCCACGTAGCCTGCAGTGGGTTTCAATCGCGGTATGCCGGCTTACGAGTCGGACTCGCAACGCCTTGATTCCGGACATGTAATTAACAAGTACTGCGCTATCCGGGTTATTTACCATACACGGAACAGACGATTACGGAGACTAGCCGAAGCTTTGACAATTAAAGAAAACAATAATAATAAAACAGACTTATGTAAACAGAAGGAGTTCGTTTCAAATTTGATGAAGTTACCCTGGTAAGTCCCGTGAAAATTGTAAACTTTCGGTGATAAAATGAAGAGTGTATCAAGAAAGACCATGTGATGTTTATCTCAATGGAATTAATTCACTTTGTTTGCTTCATTATAGGCTGATGTAACTCTGCAGTAACGCCCCTGACGACACACAGCCTAATAAGCCTGGCAATACGTTGTACAATGTATTGTCTCCGTGTATTGTCTCTGTTTGTATAACTTCAAAAGAACCTTAGTCGGTTTCTCAATGTATTCGGGCAGAAGGCTTGAACCCAAATCCTTACCCCCGCTCCCAGTATTTGTAAGGAGCTGAGTGACCCCCTAACTCTTGAAAAACAACAACCGCATACATATGTTTTCTTTGTGTCAACGCACCGGATGGCAATTGCACGATCTGACGCAGTTTACGACCAAACTGTTGCTTTGGAATGGTGGAGAAACGGACAAACAGCGGACAGCCAGGTACAAGCTGCCAGCTGCAATTTACTGCCGCAATCAATACACATACATGAATCCAGTCGTCGTTTGACATTTCTACCCGACACCAATTTATGATTCAGATATTCATTGGTTGGGACTTTCAGTCTGAACGTCAATACGTCTTTTTTTTTTTTAATCAGGACGGAAAAGGCTTGTGGGGGTGGGGGGGGGGGTGTGAGTTGTTTAAAAAAGGGGGCGAGGTTGGTTTAAGGGACCTTATTCCTCGGGTTCAAGCGTAAATGAGAATATACTGCGTCTGTTACTTAAATATGTTCTCTTCGGGTGGGTTCCGGTGCTCTGTTGTTGAATAAACAAGAATAGCCCCACTGCTTCTCCAACAAGCATGTCGTAGGATTCGACTAATTTGGGGCATCCTTCAAAGTCGGAGTATATGCCTGAGAGGCAAGGGTCCAAGAGTTTAGATACAAATAAACCAGATGTATGAAGAGGATGCGCACGCAACACTCAGGTTCTGGAAAAAGTTAATTCTGGTGGTGGACGAACATCCAAAAATTCCGGCAGAAGTTTTACAGTCGGTTAACGGGCAGAAAACAATTACCTTATTGTTGATTATGTTAAAAACCTTTTGCAAAGTAATCCTCAATAGAATTAGAGGCAGTTGATATAATCACGATGGGCTGTCCTGAGAAAGTAAAGACAGCAGGCGTAATGCTGACCACATTACCCACAGAGTGCTGATGGTCTGTAAAAATATGGGACGCTCTGCCCATATGCCCGATACGCCGAAAGGCGTGAAAAGGGGTCTTTACTTTACTTTTACTGATATAATCACGAGAGGAGGATAAGCCGGGTTTTAAACTGGAAGAAGTTGTCTGAATCCAATAATTACCCTGAGACTTGATCTAGGAGAACGCATTGAGAAACAATCTCTCATCCTGAATTTTGTTGGGTTTAAGAAGGCCTTTGACAGCTTACATAGAAGTTCCTTCTGAGGAATGTTGGAAATGTTACCGCATACCAGTTAAATTAATACGCGTTATTATAAATGTATACAAT